ATCGATAATAGTTTGAGTTAAATTACGAACGTAACATCTTTAGAGTTAGGCTTCAAAAGGCCATGAGTGTGTTCACAGCCCAAATATATTAATTACATATCATTAAAATAACACAAGCCTGTGAGCTAACTCCACTTATAAGTCTGTAAGCAAACTAATCAGGTTTACATACCACAGTCTCCAAATAATGACAACTTAAAAAGGGTGAATACAATTAAGCATGGGTATACATGTATAACTCTGTAAAAGATTTGAATATATGGCATGGCCACCCAACTTTATGCTTACAGTGGTGGAGTACCTGTAAATGTAAAGGACGAGCAAAGATTAAAGCTCACTAAATAATCATCCAAGACATTGAAAATGAGTAGCCAATATATTAAATGTTAATAAGGATGATGCCATATTACACAATTATCTTAAAATTCACATACCACCACTGTAAGTATCAATTGCTCAAATATTATGAAATTCAAGGTAAAATCAATACTACCCAAAAATCAATGAAACATCTCGATAACCTAGACAGACCTTATTGAGTCTAACTAGAACACAATTGTGTCTTTAACCTAGGCGACTAATCCCTAATCCTGTATTTATGGTTTACTAGACCAATACACTATGGGAAAGCCAACCCCGCGTGGGTGTTTGGGGTTGTCACCGATGGTATGATGCGGCACCAATCCTTACTCTAATGCACACAACTAACCAAATAGTGGAACATCGGTGCATTTGTATTATTTATCACAAAAGAGGCTTAAGGAATTCCATTGTTAGGTTATCTTTGGGACGTTCAGGTTTCATGTCCTTATTTTGAACATTGGTGCATTTGATTTATTTATCACTAGTAAATGGACTTTCTATTGTTAGGTTGGCTTCCCATCATTTATTTTGCTGTAGAATTTACTTGTAGATTGGAGAATCTAAAAAAAGGATTCCAGCACATACAATTTTTTTAAAGATTTGGTTACACGTAGGGTTTATTATCTTAAATCATAAATGTGGTGCATTTTAGTGGACTAATCATTTGGTCAAACTAAGTGTCCAGTCTCGAGTCTTGACTGCCGGAAGTTGGAGGGGTGTCAAGTTACGGGAAATTTTGATATCATCGAACAATTTGATAAAATAAAAAAATAAAACCTCAATTTTTAATTTTTTTAACTCTTTTTTCTTTTTTCTTTTTTCTCTTTTTCTTTTTCTTTTTCTTTTTCTTTTTCTTTTTCTGAACGTTTCCATTATGTGCCCCATGGTACACGATTCATAGATTGCTCTTTTGTGTTCGTCTTACCCATGTTTGGGATTTGGAACCTTTGGGATTTTAATTAGTATTGTTCATGCAGGAATTCGTACAGTTTTTCCTTTTTGTGGTTTGAACTTTTTTATAAGCCAGCTAATCTAGTTGTTTGGAGATGATTTGGTTTATAAATGTGTTTCGTATCATAAATTAGATGTCTCAGCTTTTGCTTTTCTGTAAAAGTTTTTGTAAGATTCTAACTTCTAAGTACAGATGAAAATGAAGTTTAGAAGTTGGGTGGCATGAATCAAAGCATCTGAGGTCTTGGGATTATCAGCTATATGTTTCAAAAGAACAGCTTTGGGGAGACTTCAATCCTATTTACAGTATATAATTATTTTGCTCGAGTTAATGTTTCTGTAAAACATAATTTGCTGCAGTGAATTTTTAATTTAGTTAACCAGAAGTATTTAACATATTTCACTGTTGCATTACTTCTTGTGAAATTAGTTTGATTGATTATTGTCTTACGAGTACTTAGCAATGTTTGACTTGGATATATCGAGAGTTTTAAATCTTAAGGGGGAATTACATTTTTCACCTTTGTAGTCAAACTAAATTCAGTTTTAATTTGGTCCTTTTGTCTAAAAAATTGTTAATTTTTTCATGCACTCCTTGGGAGACTAACACGTATTACAATATTGTAAGTTTTAATGTTTAATTTGAATGGAAGGATCGAATTGAAATCGGACTTAAAAGGCAGGAATCAAATTATTTAAATTAAAATGGTAAGGACTAAAGTAAAATTTGAGTCAAATTAGAAGTTTAACTTATCTTATCTTAGTCAACATCTCTGTGGTTTTCATAGAGCAATCCTACACATGTAATATAGCGATCCCAGGTTTACCCTTGTTGTATAGTGATCCGACCATGTGTCCGTGGATGTTGGTAGTTGTTTATTATCTTGTTTACATCCTTTCTTACTTTGTATTTGAGTTATAGGACTTCTTTTTTCAATTGTTGCTTACCTGACAAGTTGATACCTAATCCTTTTTATAACGATTGATTTCCCACATAACCTAAGTGGCGACGTCGTTTTCTTGATTTTATGCATGCAACACTTTGACCTCCTTAACCGTAGAATAAAAATTGTTTGGGCCACTCTGGATTCTTTGTATGTGTGTGATGTGTAATTGGCCAAGCAAGGAAAATATTTTATTGTTCTTATTGAAAATTATTCTTCAGCGTAGTTAATTGATACCAATCATTGTTTGGGTAAGTAGTGTCTTGTTTGGATAATGCTTTATTTGCTTCACTATTGGAATGAAGTGGAATAACATGATTAATCTATTAAAATATTTATCATCACCTTTGATTCACTAAAAAAATAATAAAAAATACACCCTAAATTGAATCATCATTCACATTATAAAAGAATGATAATTTCATACGAAAGTCTAAGGAATAATTATTTTAACTTGTTTTAGCGAATCAAACAATTCCTAGTTGTTAGATTAAGTCCAATAAATTGTACTTTCAAGTTTGACTTGTATACATAATAAATCGATTTTGAACGACAACCATTGCTGCTATAATGCTATTGCCATTGTTATTGCTATAATTTGGCAATGAATAGTGCTATTTTGTCAAATTATAGCAATGGTGCTCAAATAGTCATTTGTTATTTTAACAAATCTTAACTAACTTTATTTCCAAATTTGTAAGTGTTGTTTGGATATAGGTTTTTTTGTAATTTTATTTTTGTTTATTTTTTATCTTTTATGACCTTTTTTTAACTATTTGTAAAAAAAAATTATAGATTTATATTATTCCCGATTAGACATATATAAAAAATGAAAAAAAAATAGAAAAAAAATTAGATATAATTCAATTTGAAAAATTACTTGGTTTTCTACTGTTTCAATTCTATTTTTTCAACTGAATTTGAAGCCACAAATATGTTCATATTTGCTGATGTGGCATATTTGACAATTGCTATTTTACTTGTCAAATATGATAATAGATATGGCATATGCCATCTTTGACGCAGCAGAGCAAGGCATCAGAATCAATACTACAGTAGAAGCAGCAAGGCTCATAATGGCACTGCAAGATTTGGATCCCCTGCTTCGATAGGTTTCAAAGAATCACCCTCGCCACCCTCCAATATTTATTGTCTCTCCCCCCGGTAACCGAGAGAGAGACAGACATATATACAAATCTCCCTTGGTGGAGGACCATATATGATTGTTAATTTATTATGTCACAAAACAATTGATCCCATAAATTAGAGATAGCTTGTTCTGAGATAACGTGCTTTTCCATTATTTGTAACTTCTTTGATTATGAATGACTATTGATTATTTAATGAGGTTATGTTGTGTTGATTCTTATTATTTGATTCTTCTTTTTGAATTCTGGGTTGCAGGGATGTCCAAAGGGTGTCACACCTAAGTACAGCTTGAAACCTCTTGTGCCAAGGCTATCTGATATAAAGCCTGATATTGATGTTGAGAAAATGCTTTTTTAGAGATTCTCTTTGAAGAAACTATTGTTATTCTTCATTTGAACTGTTACCAAGGTTTTAAAAACCGGACCGGTGAACGAACCAGAAAAATAATCGGGTGAACGGGTCACCGGTTCAACCGGTGGGTTGAACCGGATCGAACCGTGACGTCATAATGATGTCATAAATATTTTTTTTAAAAATATAAATTAATAATTTAAATATTAAATTTTCGATTTTTTTTAAAAAAATTCTTAAATATTTTTAGTAATGTTTTTCTATAATTAAAAAAAAAATTCCTGAATATAAGCCATAACACTTCACATACTAACAACAAATAAAATTAAAGATGAAAATTTAGTTATTAAAAACAACAATCATAGTAAGAAAAATTATGAAAGCATCCAACTAAAGCAATCCATAAAACATAAGTTTCAAAAAAGAGAAAACTAAGTCCAAAGTTTACAGACAACACAACATAACATCACAAACAATCTTTGATTTTTGCCTAAATCTCCTAGGGACGATAATTTAGCCAATCATCATCATCATTCTCATTCGCATTTGCACTAGAGCTCGGATTGTTTGATCTATTATCAATGTTCACGTCACCAAAAGATCCCAAGAGTGATTAATAATTCAATTTTTGTAATAAAAACTAAGAGGGAGACATTTTCACTATTTTTCTTCATTTATTCCCAATGTGGAATTTTACAAGTTTTTATGAAATATTTTAAAATTTCATGTGAATCCTTCTTCTACACCAAATTGACAAAACCAACAAAATTGAATTGTAATATGTGGTTTATTTCGATTCTTCAACCACCAAAACTGAAAGATTCAGTTTGGTGTTAAATTTTTTCATAATTCTGACCAGACCAAACCAAACCACTTACACCCCTATAGAAGATGAAGACTTGAGATAAAATATTGGACAAATTACACCAGTAGTCTTTGACACTCTTGTTATTTTGATCCTTATAATTTCAATTGGCTCGATTTTGGCTCTGAATTTATGATATTGTCTCAATTTGGTCCAATTGATTATAATTGTTATTGGTTTTTTTATGAAAAATGTGCACATAAGAATATGTGTCATGTTTTTAAAAGTAAAATTTTAAATTTATCTAACTCAGTAAATTAAGCTCAACTAACTTAGTAATCATTTTTTGACAAAAATCACAATCAGTATTATCAATTGAACTAGATTGACACAAAATAAAAAATCAAGGGTTAAAATTAAGCCAATTGAAAGTGTAGGGACTAAAATGACATGATCGACAAAATTCAAGAACTAACAGTGTAATTTGCTCTAAAATATTTCAATCATACATGACAATTATGATGAAATGATAAAATAAATTTAACGATAAATAACATCACGTGTTCAAAATTTTTTATCCAAGTTAGATAGGGATGCATGTCAATATGTTTTCAGTGCAAATGCTCTTGCCAACAAACACAGTTGTGATCCAACACCATTTAGATTTTCTTTCTTTCTTCCGTTCAGAATTTTTGAAATTGTAAATAAAATTTTGTTTGGTTTATGTTTTTGTTTATAAAAATTTTCTAAACACAAAAAAACTGGTTTCACAATTTAATTTTTGCCCCCCATTTCTTCCTCTTTCTTCCACCCTTTTCAATCATCACCCACTAATTATTTCCACCACTTCCGCCAACCACTTTCGGCCACCACTTCCCTTGGTCACCAATCACCTCCCACTTGTGATAACCACCTTCGGTCACCAAGCTTTAACTAGCACTTTAGATGACTGAGCGGCCATTAGTTCCGATCGTCAACCACTTACGACCATGACCTCTCACTATTGGCAATCACTTTTGGCCACCACTAACCACATCCCACCAGTGGCACTTACTTTCGGCCGCCACCTTCGAAGGCAAACAACCACATCTGGCCATCATCTTCAACTGTCTAAACAGACCAATTCTTTCACTTTTTTCCAAAATAAGTTTTTTAAAACATTTACGTCAAATTTGTTTTTTGTTTTCATTTTTACCTAAAATAAACATAAACATATTTAATATTTTTTGTAAAATAAAAATAATAAAATGTAAAAGTTACCAAACCACATCTAAATCGTTTCACCTTAATCTAAAAACACAATTTGAAATATCAGTTTCAAAAAAATAAAAATAAATTAGAAAGTGTATAGAATAATTTTACAAGTCCACGGATTTTTTTCCTCACTTCTAGCACAGCTGAGAATAAACTTGGATTCTAAGAGCAACTCCAATGGTTTTTCTATTTGCCTTGCCAAAGCCAAAAAATAACGTGGCTTCACAAATGCACGACTCTAATGGTGTGTCATTTGCGATGCCAAAAAATGGCAAAGTCAAATCAGTTTTGTAACCAAAATTAGCTGTTTTTTTGAACCTTCAACTGTTAGTTTCACAACTTCTACAAATCAAAACTCTACCATAAATTTTCAAACCACAGTAAAATTTATAAAATTACAAAAACTCAATAAAGATCCTTCTAGAAATTCAGCTTTCCAAATTTAATTTGGAACCCTCAAATTTTTTGAATACGAAAAGTTTATAGATTGTACAAAATTTTAGAACAATTTAGAACCCAAATTTGAACACAATTTTAGAACAATTTACAACGAAAATTTGAATTTGGCATTTGGTTGTGCCAAAATGGCAAGTCCCTATTAGAATGGTATAACCAAAAAAATAAGTTTTGTGCATTGTAGTAAGCCAAAAAATAATTTTGACAAAGCTATTTTAACTTGAGCCATTGAGGATCTAACTTCCAATTTCAAAAACGGTTGTGAGTTTGCTAAATAATTTCCAAGCTATAGTATTTTATAAATAACTAGAAGGCTGAGAGCACATAATTTGTGGTTGAAAAAAATCACGTGCGTTAAATATTTAAAAAAATTTGAATAATAGCATAGCTGACTCTTGTGGGCATTTTTAATATATATATATATATATGACGTGTCTGCACTAATTTAATTGTAAGCTTTATGTTATATATTATAATATTAAGGGTACACACATAACGTGTGTATCATGACAATTGTTTAAAGTGCTTAGATTTCATAATTATGACACTTATATTTGAAGCAGTTAAATATGAGAGGAACAACTATCAAGTTTAGAATTACTTTGGGAATTTTTTTTTTTTTTTGGGCAATTTACACTAATTTATTTGTAGGTTAAATATAATAGAATAGATGAACAACCAAAAGGCCGGTTATGATGGGAAGGATTTGTATCCAATTCTCATAAACGATTTGGACTATCTAGTCAAGTCATTGGGGTCTATTTCAATGATATGAATCATTCAACTTCCAATTTCTTGTATGTAGACTATTAATTAAAAAAAATCAGATATATTTGGTGATTATACCTATGTATTTTCATCATTTATTTAGAGAAAAAAAAAAAAAAGTAATTAAATATGATTAAAATTATCGAACTAAATAAATTTTGTCTGTGAATAATTTACATATAAATATCAAAAGAATAATAAATCAGATTATCAAAAATGGGCCAAAAGAATGAATGATCATATTATAAAAATGGGTCATGTGAAAGGCCCCCCAAAGGTGAACTTGATGAGTGGAAGCCTTTTTCTGTTGTAATTGAAGGAAAACCCTACCCCTCTCTTTGGGCGAGAATTTAGCGGAAGGAAACCCTACCCCACCTTTTGTGGGTGTGTTTTTTTTTTGTTTTTTTATCTTTTACTGCGAGTCCCTGTCTCCATGGCTGACTGAAGAGAGAATATCAAAGAGGAAGTCTGAGTATCAAAAGAGAAAAAAGATTGGTTTAGGAAAGAAGCAACCGGTCGTTCTCCTTGATGGTATATATCTGTATTTCTCTTTCCGGTTCGCATGCAATTCCTCCTATGTAGTTATAGAATTGCACAACAATGAAACGTGTAACTAGCAAGTAGCAAGAGAGTGGTTATGTTCACCTCGCCTCGCCTCGTCTCGCCTCTACAAAATTAAAAAAGAAAAGAAAAAGAAAACCAGAGAACTAAGAAGACAACAATGGAGCATTAAAAACCACCATTTCTGTCTTTCATGTCCTTGTTTCTTCGTTCTTCCATTTAGACGGCAAATGTCAAAAGCTATCACCTTTTTCCTTTGAAGTTATCTGAGCTAATTTAATAATGTGTCATACAAAAGTCTACATTGTGGTTTCGTGGTGCCTATCTTGACATACTTCCCATTTGATTGCATTAGGGCTTCCCACTCCTTTGCTTAGTGCCACAGGCATTTGAAGCCTTCTCAACCCAACAAATATGCCCAACAAAGTAAACGTCAATACATAAAAAAAAAAAATTACACTTATGCTTCTTTGTTATATTATTGGTTTTGTAAATAGTAAATACTAAAAATCTGTACAAATACAAAAGAAGCAGGACACCTACTTCATAGTAATAAGAAAGAGAGAGTATAACAACAATAATTGTTTTAAGAAACTGACACTTATTTTGAAATTAAAAATTATAAGAATCCGATAAGAAACTGTTTTCATATCACCGAATACGTAAAATTCACTATTTTTTTGTTAATAAACTGACACACTTATGCTTGTCCAAAGGCTAGTTTTGAATTTTCTTTCATCATTCAACTTCATGACTGGTATGGTCCTAGCTATTTCAATTGGAATTTTTAGTTAATTGCTTGATTCATTGTTAAGAGGTAATTTATTGGTTTCACGGATTAAATTATAGTTTCTTTGACGTGTATAACGTTGATTATTATGCTAATTGTGGTCATTTAGGTTATCGCCTTCGTGGTGGAGTGAAAAGCCTGCCAAACTTGCCGGCCTAGGTATTAATGAACCTGTTTGCTTTATCAACATTTGATGCATCAGCCAAAAAAGTAATTAATTAGCTTGAAGTAATCAGCAAATTTGCTGTTTTAAATACTAACTTATCTAATGTGTGTACAAAGTTAGTAATCAAATTTTAATTAAATTCATTGAATAGGATTATGGGATCACTCACCCACTTGACACAAATACAATCACAAATACTACCACCGACATTGTAGCCATTTGTTGAGATACTTCATGTAAATGCCATTTGATCTTCTACTTGATCGAACTTAGCAGCTAAGAAATTGTATAGGTAGATAGAATTCAATGTAGTAATTTTGATTATCACTCAGTTGATTAGTCTAAAGCTTTTATAACCTTTGTTTTTGCACTAAACAAAATTTGGTTATTGTTACGAAACTAATTTTTCGCAATAAGTAAATTTATTGTGATGAAAATTATTTTGTCCTTATAGTTCGTCACAAATTCCATGGTCGGAAGTTTTAAAGCCAGTGGGAGTTAAATACTGCTATGAATTAGTTTCATCACAATAAATTTGTTGCAATAAAAATTAAATTAGGACATATTGTGACAAACTATTTTGTAACAATAGGTAACTGTTTATAGCCACAAAAATATTGTTGTAATACGTTGTTGAGTACTTGAGGGAGGGCATGCGGATCTCCTGTGCTTGTGGGCTCGTCCCTCTTGTTTGGCTTCTTGCTGGTGGGGGCTTCTATGATCACATCTAAGGAGGGTTTCCATGCATTGTTCACCCTTCCTTCCATTTTCTTTTAATGAGAAAAAATACATACATATGATTATTTAAATATGATTGTTACAATAATTAACAAAACAACTTGGATTATTAGTTAGGTCCAATCAATATTAGGGATAAAATTATAATAAAGAATTAATTATTGAAAATTTTGAAAATATTTATCCATCTGAGTATTATTTCAAGTTAAGTTGGACGAATTTTTTTTTTTATTCCATCAAACTCTAATTACTCCAAATCTTATATAACATTAACCAATTTTCAAATAATAGATGGATGATACATGCTATTTTATTTTTAAAATTTGGATTATAAAATGCATCTTTTTATTTTGTTATTTTTTAATTAAGGGCAAATATTATTAACAATCATATTTTTTAATTAATGGTACATCTACTATAATAGTACATCTACTACAATGTGATACAATATAATCTCACATGATATATAATAGTACATCATCTACTATAAAATTTGAATATTGAGACAAAAAGGGTTGTTGAGAAAGTTCGGAGGAAGAAAGCCAATGGAAAATTTGAGCCATTGGTTTGAATTTTATTTCTTTTGTTTTCTTATGGTTTTTCATCAACTGAGCTTGGCATCATGTTGCAATTGGTTCTTTGCAATAGCAAGTGGAGAGGGAATAGAATGTTGTATGTAGTCAGATATTATATGACTTGCCCCCTTTTCTCTTATTTTGTGGAGATATTCCTTTTTTAATAGATATTATATGACTTGCCCTTTGCATTCCTCTTCTTTTATGGGTTGATTTTCAATTTGAAATACTTGTATTTGTTGTGTGTGTATGTGTTCTATTGAGGTTTACTTTGGCAAAGAGTTTTACATAAACGAACTGGTTTTGATCTTTTGATTTACATCACTTTTTGAATAATGTTGTTGTTTTCTACCTTAGGTTTGACATCTTTTTGTTCAATAGGATTGGAACCCTTTACTTTTGCCGGGTAGCATCCAAGCTTATCCAATCTAAGGGGCTTGGAAATAGAGGGTTCCAAGATTTATGATGAAGATAAGGGTGCTAAGATGAATGGGAGCCATATAATGGGCTTTGTTCCTCTATGGATGCTGATATGACAGCATTCTAAAAGTCACTTGTGGTATACATTGTTGAGCTCATTTCAAGACAACTTAAGCTTTTGAGCTTGATGTATTTATTGAGCTCATTTCTTAACATCTCAAGTTTTTGGGACTAGTGGTGATCTAATAGTTCCCCCCTATCCGATCAATACATATGGTATGTACTTGTGTCTATGTGGACCTAAGAAAGAGAGATTTATATTTTTCTTTTAACTGTTTTAAATTATAATACTAAATTCCAGACCTTGTGTCCATTTCTTCTAATTGACCTTGAAATAAAGACTATGATCACTTGGACTATCTTAGCTTGAAACATCAGCGCAGAATGTTAAGTTGACCTTCTTAGCCTTGCAATCATGCATTAGGTTTCTTTACTATATATTGATTCTTTTACCTTTGATTCTCTAAGTTAAGCTCATGCAGTTGCATTCATCTTCGTATGTGCACTCAAGTCTGAAAAACTGATGATAACCGTAGGGATATTACAATTTAAGACGCTAAAATTTTCATGAGATTCATTAGTCTATATTTTGGTGGTACAATTATTGTTTAGTAGAGTAATTTGTTACTTGTTAGTTTAGTTTTATGAGTTCACATCTGGTACATGGATTGCTGGTGATGTGGGGAACTGACGTGGTTGTTATTTTTGCAATAAAACTGCTAGATCTTTTGCCGGTCTATTGAATCAGAACCTTTTAATTTTTTCTGTTATTGTATGCGTTATTGAGAAGATCTAATTGTCTTCATATTCTTACTGTACTTATAGTTTGCTAGCTTTGTCAATGGTCTGAATTTAGGAAATTAGCACTAGCAGGATGTTAACTATTTATTGTGGTTTGTTATTCTAATCTGTTACAGAGAGTGACCTCATTTTACAGTTGCTGATTTTGATTCAAGATAGTTATTGATCCATATACCATAGTATGTTTCATCCATTACCTCTATTTTTTAAAATATTTTATCCATATTATCGTATAGGTAACTTTTTATCCATATATTTTGTTTTAATTATATGATTCTAGCCTGCTAGAGCATTTGAAATACAATTTTCAGAAAGAAAACAAATTGAGGATTCAAACATGTATACTGGTTACATTAGAAGTACACAAAATAGCATAAAAGTGGTGTATCACCTTAAGTCACAATCAAAAGATTTACGATGGTGGTACGAGTTTGCGATGAGTCACTGCAGCCTGTATTTACTGAGAGTAATTGAAAAGTGTCAAAGTAGTTTTGTTGGCAATAAGGTGCTTTTCACAGAGGTGGTAGAATGAACTCTACACGATTGGGTGATGAAAAACCCTCTCATTGATTCTGAGTATCCTGAAAGGTTGAATAAGTTTTTTATTGGCATCTTGGGGTAAGTGCATTTCTATGTCATGTTTGCTATTTATCCAAGTAATTCATTCATTTGTTTTTTTTTCTTTTCATTTAAATTTTTTTGGTCATTTACTCTGTAAGGATATACTTAATGGCATCATATACTTCAGATGTATTGAGACAACCACATAGAGAAATTTGTGCAAACAATGTCTACTTGGTTTATGGAAATGCCAAGTTGGGTAAAGCTGTAAATCTGAGAAGACATTTGAGGATAACATTGACAAGTTCTGTGGCATGGTTAAATTTCTTTTCAAGTCTAAATGATCCAAACTAAAGGGAAGTTTTGACCCTTTGGACTTAAAAGAGAGATTTAATCATGTCACAGAACTTGTTAATGTCATCCCCAAATGTCTTCTCCTACCACTTAGGATTTACAGTTTTGTCCAACTTGGCATTTCCATAAATCAAGTAGACATTGTTTGCACAAATTTCTCCATGTGGTTGTTTCAATACATCTGAAGTATATGATGCCATTAAATATATCCCTACAGAGTAAATGACCAAAAAAATTTGAATGAAAAGACAAAAAAACAAATGAATGAATTACTTTGATAAATAGCAAATATGACATAGACATGCACTTACCCCAAGATGAAAAGGCTTACTCAACCTTTCAGGAAACTCAGAATCAGTGAGAGGGTTTTTCATCACCCAATCGTGTAGAGTTCCTTCTACCACCTCTGTGAAAAGCACCTCATTGCCAACAAAACTACTTTGACACCCAATTACTCTCAGTAAATACAGGCTGCAGTAACTCGTCACAAACTCGTACCACCGTTGTAAATCTTTTGATTGTGACTCAAGGTGGTACACCACTTTTATGCTATTTTGTGTACTTCCAATGTAACCAGTATACATGTTTGAATCCTCAATTTGTTTTCCTTTTGAAAATTGTATTTCAAATGCTCTAGCAGGCTAGAGTCATATAATTAAAACGAAATATATGGATAAAAAATTACCTAACGATAATATGTATAAAATATTTTACAAAATGGAGGTAATGAACAGCAAGTCTAAAGTGGGGTAACTCTCTGTAACAGATTAGAATAACAAACCACAATAAAGAGTTAACATCCTGCTAGTGCCACTTAATCTCTAAATCCAGACCATTGACAAAGCCAGCAAACTATAAGTACAGTAATGGATGAAACATACTATGGTATCTGGATCAACAACCATCTTGAATCAAAATCAGCAACTGTAAAGTGGGGTCACTCTCTGTAACAGATTAGAATAACAAACCACGATAAAGAGTCAACATCCAATAGACTCTTTATCGTGGTTTGTTATTCTAATCTGTTACAGAGAGTGACTTGCTGATTTTGATTCAAGATGGTTGTTCATTACTTCCGTTTTGTAGAATATTTTATCCATATTATCGTTAGGTAACATTTTATCCATATATTTTGTTTTAATTATATTACTCTAGCCTGCTAGAGCATTTGAAATACAATTTTCAGAAAGAAAACAAATTGAGGACACCAAATAGCACAAAAGTGGTGTACCACCTTGAGTCACAATCAAAAGATTTACAATGGTGATACGAGTTTGCGATTGTATTTACTGAGAGTAATTTTTGATGAAAAACCCTCTGATTCTGAGTATCCTGAAAGGTTGAGTAAGCCATTTATTGACATCTTGGGGTAAATGCATGTCTATGTCATATTTGCTATTTATCCAAGTAATTTATTCATTTGTTTTTTTGCCTTTTCATTCAAATTTTTTTGATCATTTACTCTGTGAGGATATACTTGATTTATGGAAATGCCAAGTTGGGCAAAACTGTAAATCCTAAGTGGTTGTCTCAATACATCTGAAGTATATGATGCCATTAAATATATCCCTACAGAGTAAATGACCAAAAAAATTTGAATGAAAAGACAAAAAAACAAATGAATGAATTACTTTGATAAATAGCAAATATGACATAGACATGCACTTACCCCAAGATGCCAATAAAACTTTCAGGAAACTCAGAATCAATGAGAGGGTTTTTCATCACCCAATCGTGTAGAGTTCCTTCTACCACCTCTGTGAAAAGCACCTCATTGCCAACAAAACTACTTTGACACTTTCCATTTACTCTCAGTAAATATAGGTTGCAGTAACTCGTCACAAACTCGTACCACTATTGTAAATCTTTTGATTGTGATTCAAGGTGGTACACCACTTTTATGCTATTTTGTGTACTTCCAATGTCCTCAATTTGTTTTCCTTCTGAAAATTGTATTTCAAATGGTCTAGCAGGCTAGAGTCATATAATTAAAACCCAATATCTGGATCAACAGCCATCTTGAATCAAAATCAGCAACTCTAAAGTGGGATCACTCTCTGTAACAGATTAGAATAACAAACCGCAATAAAGAGTTACATTCTGCTAGTGCTACCACTTAATCATTATTGAGAAGATTTAATTGCCTTCATATTCTAACCATGCCACAGAACTTTCCAAATTTCTTCTCGTACCACTCAGGATTTACAATTTTGCCCAACTTCGCATTTTCATAAACCAAGTAGACATTGTTTGTACAAATTTCTCCATGTGGTTGTCTCAATACATCTGAAGTATATGATGCCATTAAGTATATCCTTACAGAGTAAATAACCAAAAAAATTTGAATGAAAAGACAAAAAAACGAATGAATGAATTGCTTGGATAAATAGCAAATATGACATAGACATGCACTTACCCCAAGATGTCAATAAATGGCTTACTCAACCTTTCAGGATACTCAGAATCAATGAGAGGGTTTTTCATCACCCAATCGTGTAGAGTTCCTTCTACCACCTCTGTGAAAAGCACTTCATTTGTTTCATGACATATATTTTGTTTTAATTATATGACTCTAGCCTGCTGGAGCATTTGAAATACAATTTTCAGAAGGAAAACAAATTGAGGATTCAAACATATATCCCGAAAGGTTGAGTAAGTGCATGTCATATTTACTATTTATCCAAGTAATTCATTCATTTGTTTTGTTGGCATCATATACTTCAGTTGTATTGGGACAACCACATGGAGAAATTTGTTCAAACAATGTCTACTTGATTTATGGAAATGCCAAGTTGGGCAAAGCTGTAAATCCTGAGTGGTACGAGAAGACATTTGGGATGACATTGACAAGTTCTGTGGCATGGTTTGGTTTGGATCATTTGCGCAGATATGTGCAAAAATGCAACAAATTTGAAAAATACAGTAGTTCTTTAATTATGATTTTTTATATCTGCGCAAGTGATCCAAACCAAAGGGAAGTTTCGACCCTTTGGACTTGAAGAGAGACTTGACTATGCTATAGAACTTGTCAATGTCATCCCCAAATGTCTTCTCGTACTTGGCATTTCCATTAACCAAGTAGACATTGTTTGCACAAATTTCTTCATGTGGTTGTCTCAATGTAAATCTGAAATATATGATGCCATTGAGTATATCCTGACAAAAAAAATCGAATGAAAAGACAAAAAAACAAATGAATGAATTACTTGGATAAATAGCAAAGATGACAGAAATATGTACTTACCCCAAGATGCCAATCAAATGCTTACTCAGCCTTTCAAGATACTCAGAATCAATGAGAGGGTTTTTCTTCTCCCGTAGAGTTCCTTTTACCACCTCTGTAAAAAGCAACTCTTTGCCAACAAAATTATTTTTACACTTTTCAATAACTCTCAGTAAATACGGGTTGTACTGACTCGTTGCAAACTCGTACTACCATTGTAAATATTTTATCCATATGTCGCATAGCTAACTTTTTATCCATATATTTTGTTTTAAATATATGATTGTAAATCTTTTGATTGGAAATCTTTTTACATTTTTATACTATGTGTACTTCCAATGTGACCAGTATACATGTTGGAATCCTCGATTTGTTTTCCTTTTGAAAATTGTATTTCAAATGCTCCAGCATGCTAGTCAT